TGCATTCAAATCTGAAATAAAAATATTATATAAAATGAGATGAAGTAGAAACTGATAAAATATAATTTTATATAAATATAAAGTTTTTAATCATCAACGCTTGTCAATTTAACGAAGGGTACAAAGATGAAATATTGATATAAAATTAATCAAGTTAAAATGAATAACAGCTGAATAATGTTAAACTATTCTTAAAAAAGAATGGCTAGTTAATTAATTGATCAATTAATTATAGTTTAAAAAGATTATCGAAGCATTGAGTATTGAGACCATTAAAATTACCTGGTTAGTCATTATGGCGGTTGTATCTGTTTAGTTTAAAGAGTCTTGATTTAGCAGGATTTGTTTCATGTCAAACTGTTAAAAATAATAATAATAATTATACTACTAATAATAATATCAATTATTATTATTAATTATAGTATAATTATTATATTTTTATTGTTATTCAGCTGCTCCTTGTAATGTATTCGTGTCAGCAGTTGCTTTCCAGTCAGTGTTCATCATTGTAAATGTCTTTTTTATTTTCTAATCATGCGCCGGCACGTTTGCCTACATACATATATACATACATACATACATACATACATACATACATACATACATACATACATACATACATACATACATACATACATACATACATACATACATACATACATACATGCATACATACATACATGCATACATGCATACATGCATACATACATACATACATACATACATACATACATACATACATACATACATACATACATACATACATACATACATACATACATACATACATACATACATACATACATACATACATACATACATACATACATACATACATACATACATACATACATACATACATACATACATACATACATACATACATACATACATACATACATACATACATACATACATGCATACATGCATACATACATACATACGTCGATTTGTTGCCAACGGTATAATTATTAAAACCTGTAAAATTCTCTAAAACCAGAATATCAACAAAATTAAAACCGTTAGTTGGTTACATTTTTCCTCTGCTCACTTACGGTTCTAAGTCCTGGACGATTTCTAAAGAAATGTAAAAATGAATGATGCTGCTGAGATGTGGTTTTTGAGAAGAGTTATGAAAATTAGTTGGGCTTTTCATACCTCCAATGAGGGTGTCTTAAAACAGTCCGGTTATGAAAAGAGGGAATTACTACAGACAATCCGACAGGGGCATAACATCACTACCATTTAAACATTAGTATTTTACTGGCTGTAATGTACTTCATTTCAAGTACTTGTTTATTACGAAGTTAGTACGCTATAAAGAGACTTTTTAGTATTTTACTGAATGCTGTGTGAGTAAGAAAACTTCAGAAAAACTTTGGAAACAGTCCACCCGTTGTTACTGGTGGAGCTGGAATGTTGGATGGAATGGGATAGATTTGGATGGAATGGGATGGAATGTTGAATGGAATGTTAGATGGAATATTAGATGGAATGAAATGGGAGTTGGACGGAGTGCTGGATAGAATGGGATGGGAGTTGGATAGAATGCTGGATGGAATGGGATGGAGTTGGAATGTTGGATGGAATGGAGTGGGAGTTAGATAGAATGTTGGATGGAATGGGATGGAGCTGGAATGTTGGATGGAATGGGATGGAGCTGGAATGTTGGATGGAATGGGATAGATTTGGATGGAATGGAATAGAGTTGGAATGTTAGATGGAATGTTAGATGGAATAAAATGGGAGTTGGACGGAGTGTTGGATGGAATGGGATTGGAGTTGGACAGAATGTTGGATGGAATGAGATAAAGTTGGAATGTTTGATGGAATGGGATGGAGCTGGAATGTTGGATGAAATGGGATGGAGCTGGAATGTTGGATGGAATGGAATGGAGCTGGAATGTTGGATGGAATGGAATGGAGTTGGAATGTTGGATGGAATGGAATGGTGTTGGAATGTTGGATGAAATGTTGGATGGAATGGGATGGAGCTGGAATGTTGGATGGAATGGGATGGAGCTGGAATGTTGGATGAAATGGGATGGAGCTGGAATGTTGGATGGAATGGGATGGAGCTGGAATGTTGGATGGAATGGGATGGAGCTGGAATGTTGGATGGAATGGGATGGAGCTGGAATGTTGGATGGAATGGGATGGAGCTGGAATGCTGGATGGAATGGGATGGAGTTGGAATGTTGGATGGAATGGAGTGGGAGT